ATATATGCATATATATATATTACTTATATTACTATTTGTTATTTGCGTACGTGTGTGTAAGTACATATTGTGCTACCTCAAGTGTTTGGTGTGCGTACTAAAGTGCATCGTCTATGTCTATATGAATTCATTTGTAGTACGTAAGCGATGTCAAGTACTCTTAGATAATCAAAACCAGACAAAAGCCTTCTCATGCATATTACTGTTACCTTTTCTATTGTATAGCAGTTTCTACCCATTCTCAGTATACTGTCGAGGTTATTTTATTATATGGTTTTCTCAGTTTTACATAGAACGCGAACGTTGTATGTGATCAAATGCACGAGACATATTATACCATCGAACCAGAGACGTACACGGCGGTCCAGTACTAGCCAACCTTGCCTTTATTATAGTTTATGTTTAAACGTTCAACTACCAAATACTAATTAAGATATATATATATATATACATACATACATACATATATATATACATATACATACATACATACATACGTATATATATATACATCCATCCATCCATAAATACATACATACATATATATATATACATCCATCCATACATACATACATACATACATACATACATATATATATACCTTAATAATTTATGCATACCGTACTTATTCTTCCTTCTATAAAAGTGGTGAAGAAAATGCGAGCCGTTGACGTACTGATAGTGGATGAAGCATCACAGACTACTGAAGCTGACACATGTATTGGATTCCAGTTCCAGCCCAAGAGGTTGTGTTTCATAGGCGACACCAAGCAGCTGTTCCTTACGGTCTTCACCCAGGCCACCGTGTATGTCATGAGATTTTTATATAATTGATATATATATATATATATATAGTACTTCCATTATACACGTACCAGTTTATATGTATGTACATTTATATATTTCTATATTTATACATACATTAATGAGTATATACTGAGTTTGCTGTGGGGTCCATACAAATCGCCAGGTCGATTCTGCGTCGGGACACTTCACTGCTAACAGGGGTTTTATTTACTTTAAATAAAGAATAGTTAACAGTGTGACGCGATACGTATTGTGGTCGATTCGTACCTATTGCATCAGAGTACGAAGACAGGTGAATGTATCAGACGTTTGCATCGCACCTTGTATTTCACATACTACCTCAAGAGTGTCTTGCGAAGTGTCCTGTGTCCTTTCGTGTGATTTCAGCGAAGTAACGACAAAATGTATACGCTTATGCAAACACGCGGGGGCCTTCTACGCCGCGTAGAATTGTCGTAATGTATATTGCGATTTAGTTGTCATTTGTTTCACCAGGGCGGTAGACTGTAACTTTGCTTTGGATCACATTCTTGCGCCCCGGCAGCCTTTGTCGTGTCCTGCAAGGTACCATGTATTAGGATATGGATCTCCCGTACATGATTTAACGCAAGTCAGGGTACGTATGGTATCGCCATTGGATATTCCGCCGGTCAGACGGGACAAAAGGATCAAGGTATAGCGATATGACGATGGTGCAACAGTTGTATTTAATAATTTGGTTATCAGATCGGGTGGAGTTCAAAGTCACCGCTGTACACCTGACGATACGTTCCAGTGTGTGCACCCACCCAATAACCAGAGTCGTGCTTAACATCGTGATGGGTTGTATGTCTGAAGGGTCTTTTGGGACGCACATGGGTAATTTCAGATATACAGACCGCGGCTTAAGATTGCCCGCGTATCATGTGTGTCGTACTTTTTAAAGTGGTTCATCGGGTTTTGTTGTGTCGAAAACGTGCCAATGCATTTTAATCCGACCTCACCGGATATCAAATACGAGCCAGGAGTGCTGTTTCGTTTTAGTGTATCTTTGAAAGTATCTACACTTATGGACAACCTCGTTGCATATGAAGCAATGACACAAATACGCAGCTTCCTTTCATATGAAGCCATTTTACATATATAGACAGTTTTCTTGCATATGAATGTTCCGGTATATGTGTATATTTACAGCTACACACTTAAAAGGTGTACGCACTTTTTCACTTCTAACTACTCTCAACTTGATCTCTGCAGCTCCAAAATCTCAAATACGAGTGACACGGGAACGACGGTGGTTGGTCGTGATCCGAAACTCGATATTGGGTCTAATGGCCCAGAAATTGAGTTAGGGTTTGGCAGAAGTGCTATGTCTAGACTGGTAGATGGGTGCAGTTAGCCTTGCGCCAGACGCACTAAGCAATATATATATATATGTGTGTGTTTGTGTAGTATATGTATGAATGTAAATATGTATATATGTATATATATATACATGTATGTATATATGTATATGTATATGTGTATATATATATATATATATATATATATTATTGTATGTATGTATGTTGTATATATATATATATATATATATGTGTATATATATAATATATATATATATATATATATATATATATATATATGTGTGTGTGTGTGTGTATATGTACCAGTTTTTTGCTGACTATGCCGACGATTATGAAACCGATCCCGTATCTAATTCTGGCGGTGAAAACCACTGTGTGGATGACAGCTCATCAGAGTTTAAAAAAAGTTCACTTTCAGAGCTACACCAGTTGAACTCTTTTAATCTCTGATGAGCTGTCATCCACACAGTGGTTTTGTCCGCCAGAATCAGATCCGGAATCGGTTTCATAGTCGGACACATATCCAGCAAAAAGACTGGTGTAGCTCTCTGAACGTGAACTCTTTTAATCTCTGATGAGCTGTCATCCTCACAGTGGTTTTCATCGCCAGAATCAGATCCGGAATCGTTTTCATAATCGTTGGCAAATCCAGCCCTTGATAACTAGCACATCAACTTAACAAACATGATCAGTATGATGAGGACTAATATGGCCCTCGTGGCTATTTTCTTTCTTCGGTTTGCATTGAGACGAACTCGTAAAAGAATCATAAATCCCATAGACTATATTTTATCAACAGTCACGGGAAATGTGGGACGTCAAATAAACAGCTATATCATTAACGACATCCGTAAAGAAGATAACAGTATCATTGATATTCCAGATAAAAGTCAACCTGATAGCATGACAACGGTTGACTTGTTGATAAATGACATCCGTAAAGAAGACAACAGCATCGGCTTGGTAACAGGTGCCGGACATATCAACGATAGTCTCATCATTTATCAACAAGTCATCCGTTGTCATACTATCAGATTGATTTTCGTCTGGAATATCAATGACAGTTGTTTTCTTTACGGATGTCGTTCATGATACAGCTGTCTGTTCGATGTCCACGTTTCCCCTGATTGTTAATAAAATGTAGTCTATAGAATTCATGACGGTTTTGCGAGTTCGTCTAAATGCAAGCAAGAGAAAGAAAATAGTCACGAGGGCCACATTGATCTGAATCATACTGATCATGTTTGTTAAGTTGATTGTTGTGCTGGTTGTCCAGTATACTGTTAACGTATGGTGTGAATTGCAGGATATCTCTTATTATATACGGTTGAATTTATGTATATCTTGCATGGGCGTTGTAGTATTCGATTTGAACGTGTGTATGGAAAACAATATTCTTTTTCACAACAATATAAGATAAGATATACTATCACTGCCAAGGTATTGTCTGTCCAAATCGCAAAATGTACTACAGGCCATAAAATTATAGGACAGGGGTAATCAGAGGCATCTGATTGGCTATGACGTAACAGTTACTAGGAAATAGAAAAGAAGAAAAAATGATAATCCTTTTCAGCTTTGATGTATACGACCGTCGCGACGTGTCATCTGAAACATGTCGTATGTGCTATGTATGTCGCTTAGATATACATACAAATCTCCAAATATATTCATTGTTCTGGCACAGAAAACGGTTTGTACGATTATTTATATATAAAAAAGTTCATAGCCTTTTGAAAAATGAACAAAAGTTTTTTTTTTGAAATACCTTTGAAAATGCTAAAATACCAATATTATATACACTATCTCTTTGGAAACACTGAATTCAAACGATATTTATAAATATTTCTTTTTTAAAAACAAAACAAAACCCTGAACGCTAAAACCTGGAAACCATAAACCGGAATCCTAAACCCTAAATGCAGACGCTGAACCCTAAACCCTAGGTCATACACTATCCAAGAGACCTAAAAACATAAATACCCCCTAAAACCCATTTACTACGTACAATAAACCTTTTGATACTGGATAGCAGCGTCTTCTTCAGTCAACTGCTCGTTTTCTTCGGCAAGTGGAAGGAAAGTCTTGAACGATATCTCATCGCCTACATGAGCAATCAAAGTCCCTTTTGACTCTCTTTTGTTCCATTCGTCTCGTATAGCAGCCGAATCAGACGACACTCCTAACGTGAAAACCTGGTTATCGTCGTGGTCCAAATCATTTTTGGCATCAACAACCATGTTGATAGATTCCTCACGAATAGTATTTTTGTCGATAACTATGCTATCCGTGTTTTCCGACCTATCCGAAACGTTGTTGGTACCGTAATATCCGAGATCACTTCCAGAATCGTCCGCGTCGACATCATCAGAAAAGCAATCACTTTCAGAGCTTCTTTCTCTGCCAGAATCATATTCGGAATCGGTTTCATAGTCGGACGCATATCCCGCAAAAAGACTGGTGTAGCTCTGAACGTGAACTCTTTTCAACTTTAATGAGCTGTCATCCACACAGTGGTTTTCGCCGCCAGAATGAGATCCGGAATCGGTTTCATAGTCCGACGCATATCCCGCAAAAAGACTGGTGTAGCTCTGAACGTGAACTCTTTTCAACTCGGATGAGCTGTCATCCACACAGTGATTTTCACCGCCAGAGTCAGATCCGGAATCGGTTTCATAATCTTCCGCAAATCCAGCAAACAAACTGGTGGTGTAGTTCTGAACGTGAATTTTCTTTAACTCTGGTGATCTGTCATCTACAATTTTTTTCTGATGATCCATTACGAGGTTGTTGTCCATAGTATCTGTAGATTGGCAACAGGTACTGGACATGTCAACGATAGTCTCATCATTTGTTAACAAGTCAACCGTTACCATGCTATCAGGTTGAATTTTATCTGGAATATCAATGATACTGTTGTCGTCTTTACAGATGTCGTTAATGGTATAGCTGTTTGTTCGACGTCTCACGTTACCGCCGACTGTTAATAAGATGTAGTCTATGGGGTTCATGATGGTTTTACGAGTTCGTCTAAGTGCAAACAGGAGAAAGAAAATAGCTACGAGGGCCACATTGGTCTGAATCATACTGATCATGTTGATTGTTGTGCTAGTTGAAGTATACTGTTAAACGTATGGTCTGAATTGTAGGATATTTCTTTATTATATACGGTTGAATTTATATATATCTTGCATGGGCTTTGTAGTATTCGATTTAAACATGTGTATGGAAAACAATATTCTTTTACACAACAATATAAGATAAAATATACAATCACTGCCAAATTATTGTCTGTCCGAAATTACAAAATGTACCACAGAGTCGCAGAGTCAGACCATAATATTACAGGACAGAGGGTAACAATAATATTACAGGACAGGGGTAACAAGCGTCATCTGATTGGCTATTCCGTAACAGTTACTAGGAAATACATAAAAAAAAATTACAGATCCTTGGCCTGGCCCTTTTGGCCCCTTTTATAAATACATATTTCAAAATCTAGGCGGAAGGAGTCTATACAGTGTTGGCTGTTGAGGTGGATGCGTGTTGGTGGGTGCCTGGATGGTGTGACACTTGACAGTGTGACTGTGAGTCTGTGTGAGAGGGTGTGTGTCAACTGTGTGTGTACTTGAAAACGAATACTTATTCGGAAAAAAGTCAAAGCAAATGTGTACAATGTGTATCTAGACATTTTTTTAAGGTCAGTACGCAATGATAGGTTCCGGATTTGCCACTGTAGTTGATACAAAAAGCAGAGTCAAGACTGTGACCTATCTGGGAGAGTCTCTGGGCTCTTATTCACGCCTCATATAGACTTAATTTATTAATATTCTAGTAGTGAACAAATGCGAGGAAATTGTGTGTGTGTTAGATACGCGTGGGTGGGTGAGTGGTGAGTAAGTGTGTTTGAAAAACAAATAAGCTTCTTGTAGAAAAAGTACAAAGTTGTGTCTAACCATTTCAAAGTCTATACGCTATGAAACATTCTGGATTTGCCACTATAGTTAACCCTCCACATAGAGTCAAGGTTACCACCTATCTGGCAGAGCCTCTGGACTCGTAGTCGTGTCTAAGATAGACTCTCAATTGCTAATATTCTAGTGGACAGATACGAGGACTTTGTGTGTTTGAGAGTTGGGGTGAAAGTGCGTTTGGGCCGTTTTGTGATAGAAAACCTAGTGGAAAAAGTCAAAACCACTATGTTACGTGTCTCTGGGCATTTAAAGGTCAATATGCAATGAAGAGTTCGACATTGTAATTGACCTATATATATATATATATATATATCTATATACATACATATACATATATAAATATATATAAATATATATATACTTATACATACATAAAAACGTATATACACGTTTTATATACACATATTATATATACATACATATATATATATATTATATGCAGACACGTGTAGAAACTACACGTATGTATACCCGTGTACACACATTCACATGTACACACACGCACACACGTGTAAGTGTACGTGTACACACACACACACACGTGTAAGTGTACGTGTACACACATACACACACACACACACATATGTGTACACGCATCCGATATCTATATATATAAATATATATATATTTATTAATTATGATACGAAAAAATCAATGGAATTCGTATTATATACCTATTTATACAAGTTTATGTTCAAAATGTTCATGTGTGCGAATTTTTTCGTTTGGAATCTACAAACATGTATACTACAGCTATAAACATTTCTGATTCCTATTATATATCACTTGGCGCGAACCTTGTGCCAATTCATAAAAAGACTACATCACATCCTGCTGAGAACTATAAAATTAAGAATCTATTAAGGTTAGGATACTGAATATGTGAAGGGTCCTGGTCTAAGATGCTAAAGTACACCTCTAAAATGGAAGCCAAAGGCATTATTGTAAATATCGATCTTCATTTATATACTCCAATCAAGCGTACGGATTTAAGGGATTCTGTGCTGGCCTATTCATCACGGGAACCTGAACGGAAACAGTAGATATATTAATATTTCGTAGGTACAAAAACATTGACCGTACACTCACGTCGGTACATCATGACTAAAACATGCATTTTTCATCCTGAGTTGTATCTGTTTACATACGCACCTATGTTGCAAAATAAAAACGCGACACATAGATTAACGGATGATCGCGAAATGATGAAATTCGAGCAACCCATGTACAGGCTCACAAGTCCATATATGCCCAATATTGATTTCCGTACTTTCTTATATACACTTATGCATATATATATAAAATATATATATATATAAATAAATAAAAATAAATATGTATATATATATATACATAGATATATAGATGCATAAAGACAGAAACACACACGCACATACACACACACACACATATAATATTGATATACAAAAACAAAAACACACAAACTTACGTAAATACTTACACACGTAAATACATGTATATGTATGCTATACATACGTATGTATGTATATACATATACATACATACATATATATATACATAGATCATAGATAGACAGATATATATATATATATATATACTCGTACTATACAGATGTATCGTGAATCTAGGCACATGTACAGGAAGACCAAACTAGGTGTAATACATGAAAACACTCCAGGATCGGTGAATCGAGCGAACTTGTGTGATTGAGATAAATAAATACCATGATTACATATATATACCATTCTAGGTACATGCATAGCCCTACTTTCTCACGTCCAGTTCGCTTCGTATACCAGTAAGAATACAGCTTTTTGTAGCGAGTATATATAATATTAAGCCAGAGAACGATACAACCAACCAATCTATCTATTGCTCAAAATAACGGCAATACTTGTAGATAAGATGTACAATAGGATTTATATACCACTAAAGCTGTGAAAACGAGAGAATCGACATATATGCAGATACTAAAAATATAAACATAGTACATATACACATGCATAGATACCCTTTTTCAAGCGTGTATGTATTTATATGTATATACACTCTTTACTTCTACCTGGTTTTGTTGCTGCTGCTGGTTCTGTTGTTGTTGCTGAGCGGATAACTTGAACGGCAATTGCAAGAAGAATTGCTTGGTGTGTTCGTCATACATGGTGAAAAATGCTGCAAATGGAGAGAAAATTCGATAACAGTAAGAATGACGAGTACAACCATGGCTGAAGAACATATAATTGAATCTAAAAAAATAAGTTAGAGACAATAAAGACAATGGTTACGATATTGTGCTTATGTATACCGGTCAATAGTATGCTGAAATGTGTTGCCCTATGTTTTGATCAATTCTTTGTGTGCTGTATATATATGTATGCTTCCATATATAAACGAAAAGGTATATTCATGTCGATGTGGATCGATTGTTGTGTTGCATCGAACCGCATCTGCCCTTCTGTGTGCATAAGGGGCTATACACTAATTGTACAGTCCCGAAATCTTCGGTTCGTGTTTGGCGGAGAACTTGTTATAGTATCTTGCACAAGCACAGCCAATCTCATATATGGGAGCTGGTACACTTACAAGTCAATTGTGGTGCTTGCGATGTAAATACTTACAGGGGCTTTTGTCGATTTCCCTGAAAGGAATTTTGAAGGCAATGGTTTCGTATGGCTCGGCGGCGACCAAGACGTATTGCCAATTCTGGCAATGGTAGGCAATAGAAGGAGTTGCGAGTGAATAATAAAGTGTTCTTGCGTCTCGCCAATTTCAGCGAAGAACTTAGACGTAAAACTAGTTCACAAATGTATCGAGAAGCCAATAAACACCGTTCCCATCGTAATATATATCAATTGCGTCAACAGGAAGCAATAGGCAAACAGCATAACCTCATCAACACATGGAGATTCAACCCTAATTACGATGAATGCTGATGCTCCCAGGTGTGATATACGTGAAATAGCTCATTCATGGCTCACATATATAAAGATGTGCACACAACAGGTTCATACGGCGGAATGCTATGTACATCTGAGCGAGATTTCCGATTTCGACATAACTTAAAAGCTAAAGCTTGCGCGTGTGATTGGGTTTTGTTACCTTATCCGGTGCCTCCACATTCTGTTCGTACGCAGACATGAGCCTATGTCTCGGTTTCACATCATCGGCGATTTCCGGATAGTCAATCTGGAACAATAACGAGTGCTGATTGGTTGCGGCGTCCTTCTGCTTAGTTACTTTATAACCCGGTCGCCCAATCTTTACGAAATTCTTCACGGTTACCTGAAAAATAAATAAAAAATGCGATAGCCAGTTTGTGTTCATGCATGGGTGTATCTACTCTCGCATTCGGGCGTGTTCTACTGTTGATTGATGTATGAACATATACTCTTCCAGCAACCCACGTTCCCACACCCGGCCATGTTGCAATATAAATTCAAACCAAGCTGTGAAACTGTGCTGACGTGACATGTAAGTGTACTGGCGGATCATATGAACGAGCCGCAAGACTAACACATATCCACACACGCCACATACACAAACCCTCGAGCGAGCAGACAATACCTCGCATATGTATTGTGGAAATCACATAAAACTCACGTGCGCAGCAGGTCTGTACTTGCACGCAAAGATATGTAGACGCGTGCATAAACACACATATGCATCTTCTCCTGATTGATTGCGAGGCCGATGGCAATGTCTTATGCTCATTTGCAAGTACAATTAAACACAACGGTATATGTACATATGCATTAACACACCGATATATACACGTATGCATTAAACACACGTACATGCCTTCTCTTGATTAAAGTGCCTTAGGCTTCCTTCGCAGCTCACATAGCATTATTAATGAGACCTTTCGCAAGTAAACATCGGCACACTAAGATATATACACTTATGTATAACAGATATATAAACATGTACAAATACACAGGCATGTACACATATGCACGAACACAGATGTATTACATACACACCTTCTCCTGATTCATTGAGGGGCCGACGACAGTATCTTTAGCTTCCTTCGCAGCACGACCAGCAAGGTTATACTGATGCTTCTTACCTTGTGTATGAGCAAGGTAACTGCCTTCGTTATTGTGTAGGGTTAGACATAGCTTGCACTCGTAGGAACCGAGATGATTCCGCATAAAGTAGGGATCCTGGAGGTGACGGGAGTTTAGAATTTATGTGAATGTAGGTGAAAAATAGAATATTCGTACTTTCGTGCACAAATGTACTTCAATGATGTATGTATGAAGCAACCAATTAATTTTGAAATATATATGACTACAAATATACTTATATGCATATGTATAGAAAGAACGAAATCCGGGACTGAGCTTCAATGATTTACTATGTACAAACAGATACATGTACTTTCGCAATAGCCAAATATATATAGGTACATTGACTATTTAAGTGTATTTAGACAATTGATAACGAGTACAAAAACAAATAACACAGCAGAGCTATGCAAGCATATAAATCATCGCAGTGTTCGAATAAAACCAAGATATAGCCGAATGCGAATATATAAATGTACAATCAAAAACTAAAATACGGCTCTACTCACACATGATTGTACATTAACATTTAATTCTATCACGCGCTATATATATTATATATATATATAAACATAATATATATACACACACATACATTCCATTATAGATATATGGATGTAAATGATATCATAATATAATAATATAATAACATACCAATATAATAATAATAATAATAATAGTATATATATATATTATATATACATATATATAAGAGTAGATATATATATGAATACGAACATAAAAATACTATACCAGCAGATATATAGATTAATAATATAAATAAACACACACATATACATGTAAAGAAATATATAGTTATTTATTCATATATTTATATATATACATGTATATATATATATATATATATATTTATATATGAATACACATACACATATGCATTGATTTAACTAAATATAAACATTTGTGAAAAAACACACACACACACATACATACATATGTATATTTATATATACATATATATAAATATATATATATATTCATATATACACATATTCATATATACACATATATAAACATTTATAAACACACACACACCCACACACACACACATATA